ACCCACCAAGCCATGTCATGCCCACCAAGCCATGCCCACAGAACCAGTAGTAAAATTATTTGAATCCTACCATTGGGGCAGACATAGAGACAGCAGTCCTATTGGTCTAATCTGGTATATTGAGATTGGAGAATAAAAGCCTGGCAGGACACTAAACTCCTCATCTGCTGGTGACATTCTTCTAGTCTGACTAAAATTGGGAGAGACAGAGAGGGAGAAGAGAACAGAATGGAAAACAGAGTGAATGGAGGGAAAAGTTGGAGAGTAAAAATTATGTGAGTGTGTGAAGCAGTTGACAGTTCATGGTCAGAGAGGGAAAGAGACTAGAGGTGGTTTCCCTGGAGGAAAGGAGTGGAAGTCCTGAAGAGGTGATAACAACATCCAAATCTCAACACAAAAGGGCATTGTCTGTTGTTGGTGAAGCTCTTATCTCTGGGGAAGGACTGGATAGGAGACCCTGAAAAAGTTTCTTCCTTCAGGTGGAGGAGAAGTTGGTCAGTGAAGTCAATCTGCTAATCCAGGAGAAGGATTATGCTGCACACACAAGCAATACATCCAGCACTTTCCTTTCTATTCGCTCTCTCTGATAAGCCCAGAAACAGAGGAAGAAGGCAGAGTAAAGAGGGATGAAGTCAAGCAGTTAGCAGAATTGCTGGAAGAAAATAGTTGTTGGTAGGGAGACTTAGGAAGAAACCTTATGCCGGGTAAAAGTCAGAACTGCTGGGTATACTCCTGTAATAAATACTTGCTCTAAATAACTTCACTATATGTATCAAAAAAGCATGAAGGTTCCCACTGTTCTCTGTTCATTGTTCTCCAGTGCTTCTCTGTACCAGTCACCATCCTTGCAAATGGAAATACAGCCCCAGTTCTGAAAGAACATAGTCACACTGCTACTGGGGCAATTGGTGAAGAAAATGGGCAAGAGCTCAGTGTTCCCCAAGTTGTGTGGGCTTTTTTTTTTACTCAATTAATATGTACTTCCAAAATGTCTAGTATGGAAATTTGATTGATAGTCACTATCTACATTAGGTAGACTTGAGAAGTCTTTGTATGTTCTACAGCAAGGGTGTCAAACTGGGCTGGATATGTCACATGCAGGCCACACCCATCCCAGCTCTGCAAAGGAGGAAAATGTCATGGTACATCATGCGACAGCAACGTGACACCAAGTTTGACACCTGTGTTTTACAGTTATATGGACACTTACTGAAAAATTATATACTTCAAATTTAAATATGAAGCATTTTCATTTTGCTTTTCTCCTCCAAAATATAAGTTGTTTTATATGAGGATTTATTTCTAAGGGCCAGGCATAGAATTGCTTTGATACAGACAGATTTAAAATATATTTATTTCAAGTATATTATATACCTTCTGTTGTGGCTCCGATTCCTGAGCCTGCGTTATTAGAGGAAGAGGACTCGGAAGATGAGGAGGAGGAATTGGGAATGCCTTCCTCCCCAGGACCTTCCTCTCTGGCAATGCCTTCCTCCCTGATAATACCTCAGGTTTCAGCAGACAACCGTGAGGAACAGACTGAGATTAATCAGGAGGAGGAGGGCATATCGGAGCAGCCCCTGACAGGGAGTCAAGTAGATGAATGTTGGCTTGATCCTAGGCAGCGTCGTAGAAAGAAATGTGAGCTGCAACGTAGGGGGCGTGGGCGAATCAGAGTGTGAGCTGAGTCATTGAGCCACACCCCACAGGGGATAAAAGTGGGTGTGTTTTCTCTGGAAACTTTGTACAGGACAAAGTTTTACTTCTCTTCTAGGTTTTGGTGTGATTGTTTCTTGTGGTCTGCTGTGGAATCTTTAGTGAGTAGTTTTTTCGGGTTATCTTTTCGGACTTGGTAGGCAGAGTGTGTTAGAATGTCAAGGACATTATCAGTATAAAAGATTAACTCTGTAAAGACCAAGTCTTCTTGCCTGCCTGTGTTTGAACTCTTTCATCTTTCTTGGAAAGAGGAAAGGTGAGACATAACACCTTCCAACACAATTTATTACATGGTTTAATTTAAAAAAAAAAGATGTACACAGAAAGATCCTTTGGCTCTAATGCAACAGTACTCTGACAAACATTTGTCTTTGTCACTTGCTGCTTTATCTTGAAAGGCATCCTTCTTGTTGCACTTCACAAATTATATAATGTTTTTCCCAGTTTGAGTGTATTATGGAAAGCAGAGAGGGCTTAGAATCCTTGAAAACCTCCCAACTTTTCTTATTTGTCTCCTATTCATCATCAGAGGTTCTATTACCTGAACAATTATCTTCTGGTGCTGGTGATGTTAGTGGGCAAAATCTGGCAGTAGTGATCAGTCCTAACAGACCTTCTGAAAGGAAGCCTAGCAAGGAAACAGGGCTAGTAAATATTCTCTATGTCGGAAAAGCTGAAGTTCAAAAGAAGTCAACAGTTTTCTTTCTGCTTTCAGTTCTAAAACACCTGACATGCTTGTATAGAAAGGGTAAGTCTGCTGCGATGTTATGTGTCTCCACCATAAAAAAATGTTCAGTGAGTTTGGTATTAAAAAGCAACAGCATGCAGCTTGTCAAATGTTCTCTTGATACCTGAAGCCCTAAGCTGAGAAGAGAGATGCAGAACAAGCTACAGTTGCGTTTTTGATTGGGTCTTTAGAGAACTGAAATATAATGTGATCCACCAGCTACCCTTTCCCTGGTTTGAAAGCTTCCCAACAATGCCATCCCTCTTTCATGGTGGACATTTTGAAAGTCTCTCATGTTTGCCATTTGCCTCACAGTCTCTTATTGACTGGGCAGGAGAGGCAGGCAAAATCCATTATTTATAGTTACTTCTTCGGTGCTGATCTCTTTTGTCTTGCTTCATAAGGGAATAGAGGCAAAAGTTTCATAATGAAATAATCATGTGGGCTGAGGTTGCAGCAGTAATGGAAGCTGCTTGAAAAGAGGAGGACATAAAAGAGAACGGCTGGAGCTCTATGAGTCTTGGTGGGTTGAAAAAGCCTGCTACTCCTTGTCTGAAGGCCAAGAAGTGGGGGGGGAGTCTTAGGTGACTGCAAGATGGGGATTGAAAAGGCCAAAATGAGGAAAAGCCCTGCAGCTGTTAAGAAGTACTGGGGCCTGGATGTGGGCCTGGACAATAAAAGATATTGATTTATGCTTTGTAGCTTAAGAAAAATAGTTTGCTTTCAGTAGCACATTTAAAATAAAATAAAATAAATTATTAAAGCCTTTTCTGGGGCGGAAAAGAAATGAAGGAAAAACACTATTATGGCTTCGTTCTAGGATAGAAAAAGTGATGATAGTCAGAAAAGGACTTTTATTAAATGTTTTGAATTTGGAAGTTTTGAGCACTGGTTTCTTACTGTCTCTTATTTCAAAGAAACGTCCCACAGAAAGTGTCAGGAGGCAGAAGAGAGTTGCTTCTAAAATAGAACCAATCTTCTATGCTGTAGAGTTTAACTCTCTGAGAATTCCTGGATAGCTCCGTATATAGCAATAAAACTCCCTTTTACGACCTTGTAGTCTCTTATTTAGGGTAGAATTGGAGCGACTAGATGGAGCTGAGCATTTACTGGAAGGATATCATTCCCAACGCCTATGTGGAATTTGCAGCAAATATTTTTTATTTGCGACCTAGGAAATATGCTGCTGCCTAGGACTGAATTTTCAACCTTCCGAGTGGGAGATGTGTTTCTTCATTACTAGGATACCATACTCCTCTAGGTTCCTATATTTTTCCCCCTGAAAAATATAGTTAAAACCTCACAATCTCATCAAGATAATACAAGATACCACTATCCTTATGAAACTTCAAGTGTGATCATTTGATTGCTAAAATCTAACATGCTTTGGTGATTTTATGGGCTTTTTAATTTTTTTTTAAATACTAAACACTTCAAAATGCAAATTAAATCACAAATGGTATTGAATTATAACAAGGTTACAAGTGAATATATCATGAGAATGAAGAAAATCTTAAAGTCCGAATTCAGTGAGGGAAATTCCATCAAGGCAATTAATACCTGAGCAATTAGATACATAGCTGGAACAATGGACTGGACTCAAGCAGAATTAAAAGCATGAGATAAGAAGTTGAGAAAAATAATGACAATAAATCATACTTTTCATCTACATAGTGATATTGACAGACTCTACGTCAACCCTGGAGGCCATCTTTACATTTGGATCTTCAGGGCTGCCACAAGCAGTGGATGGGAAAGCTGTGGGAATGGGAGGGGGTGGATGGAGACAATGTGGGATGTATAGCTATAACAACACTTTTTCCCTTGGGAGTCAAGGACATTCAGCCTGCACCTCAACTACAGTTGGGACAGTGACTTGATTGGACCGTGTGATGCCCTTGTTGGTGCAGGTGAAAGAACTTTACTTTGGGTGGGGAAAACTCAGAGACTTTCAGATTCCAGTTTTCCCAGATGTGCCAATATGACATTTGCAATAAATTCAAGCTTCAAGGAAAATGCCTGCCTTGGAATTTTGATTCTGTTGGGGGTATTACTCTACTTATCAAGGGAAATAGGAGGGCACTATGACAGTCTGATAAAAGTAGCAATAGCAATAATAAAAAATAGGTGGTGGGAAGAACAGAGGTAATGCAGAGTAACTTCAGCAATAACTTTATTTAACAATAAAGGGTTGCTGCGGCTGCCGTGAGCTAACAGGGCAGCCAGCTGATAGGCATCAGCTGATGCTGTTTGACAGCTCCCTTTTATAATCAGCTGTCAAACGACATCAGCCAATAGGAGCAGTCCACGTTCTGAGTGGGAACAGTCTCAGAACGCAATACATAACACTAACATTTAGACCTATATACCACTTCACAGTGTTTTACAGCCCTCTCTAAGCTGTTTTACCGAGTCAACATATTGCCCCCAACAATCTGGGTCCTCTTTTTACCGATCTTGGAAGGATGGAAGGCTGATCAACCTTGAGCCAGTGAGACTCAAACTGCTGAAATGTGGCAGTCAGCATTCAGCAGAATTAGCCTGCAATACTGGACAATATACTAGACAGTTGAAGAAGAAGAAAAAGAAGAAGAAAAAAGGTCACTAGGTGAATATCTGAAGAACATTGAAAAAGATGCAGCATCCCAGGAAAGTTTACTGAATACTAGAGAGACCAAACTGGCCTACAAGAAAAACAAAATGAGATATAGAAAAGAAACATGGCAAGGGAAATAATTATATGACCAGTATATAAAAAACAGCAGGCAGAGCAGATAACACGATCCGGCAATGGCTAAGAACAGTAAAAGGAAAAAAGAAAAAGAAAAGGGCTAATTCTGGCTAGACTTAACAATAAATGCATTCAAAGCCAGAACTGAGAAAATATCAACAGACAACAAATGCCACCTACGCAAAGAAGCTGAAGAAACAGTGGACCACCTAGTTAGTTGCTGCAAGAAGATTGCATAGACTGACTTCAAATAATGGCATGACAGATTAGTAATAATGGTGCTCTGGAATATCTGCAAGATATATCACTTGCCTGTAAGCAAGATTAGAAAATAGACAAAGTAATAGATAATGAAGAAGCTAAAGTTCTGGGACTTTAGAATTCATCAGACAAGCGCTTGCTGCATAACATCCCAGACTTAACAATTGTTGATAAGAAAGACAAAACAGTCTCGATAGTTCACAGTACAAAGCATAGAGGCAGCAGAATAGAAGAGAAAGAAGAATAGAATAGAATAGAATTCTTTATTGGCCAAGTGTGATTGGACACACAAGGAGTTTGTCTTGGTGCAAGTGATCTCAATAAAAGAAAAGATACATTTGTCAAGAGTCAAGAATCATAAGGTACAACACTTAATAATAGTCATAGGATACAATAAGCAATGAAATCATATTAGGAAACAGTCAATATAAATCATAAGGATAGAAGCAAAAAAGTTACAGTCATACAGTCACAAGTGGGAGGGGATGGGTGATAAGGAGTGATGAGAAGATTAATAGTAAAAATAGTTGGACAGTGTTGAGGGAATTATTTATTTAGCAGAGTGATGGCATTTGGGGGAAAAACTGTCCTTGTGTCTAGTTGTTCTGGTGTGCAGTGCTCTATAGCATCATTTTGAGGGTTGGAGTTGAAACAGTTTATGTCCAGAATGTGAGGGGTCTGTAAATATTTTCACAGCCTTCTTTTTGACTCGTGCAGTATACAAGTCCTTGATTGAAGATAGGTTGATAGTAATTGTTTTTTCTGCAATCCTAATTACTCTCTGAAGTCTGTGTCTGTCTTGTTGGGTTGCAAAACCAAACCAGACAGTTATAGAGGTGCAGATGACAGACTGAATAATTCCTCTGTAGAACTGTATCAGCAGCTTCTTGGGCAGTTTGAGGTTTCTGAGTTGGTGTAGAAAGAGCATTCTTTGTTCTGCTTTTTTGATGATGTTTTTGATGTTAGGTGTCCATTTTGGGTCTTGTGATATGATAGAACCTAGAAATTTGAAGGTCTCTACTGTTGATACTGTGTTGTCTAGTATTGTAAGAGGTGTTAGTATGGGAGGGTTTCTCCTAAAATCTACCAGCATTTCTACACTTTTGAGTGTGTTTGGTTCCAGATTGTTCCGGTCACACCACGAGGCAAGTTGTACAACCTCCTATCTGTATGCGGATTCATCGTTGTCTCGAATGAGACCAATCACTATTGTATCATCTGCAAACTTCAGTATTTTAACAGATGGATCATTTGAGATGCAGTCATTGGTATATAGGGAAAAGAGAAGTGGAGAAAGCACACAGCCTTGGGCGTGGGGGCTGTGCTAATTGTACAGGTATCGGATGTGAATTGGAGAAAATCACAAAATGCAGAGACCAGCAAATAGAATGACTGTGCTAAAAGAGAGCAAAGATAGTACTAACAGTAATGGACACCTCGGGTGCAATTCCAAAACAACTGGAGCATTATTTGACATCATCATTGACAAAATCACCATTATTTAATTGTAAAAGGCAGTTGCTTGGAACTGCATACATTCTACAAAATACCTGTAACTCAATCAAACAGCATCTATCTATCCCATTTCCTTGGGAAGGTTTCAATAGGTAGACAAAAATGTCAAATCCAGTCTAAACATCTGGCTGATTCTGTAACCAATAAATAACAACAACAATAATAATAAAAATAGGGTGCAATCCCAAAACAACTGGAGCACCACTTGTACACCATTGGCATTGACAAATTTGCCATCAGTCAATTGTAGAAGGCTTGTAGATTGTAGATTTACTTGGAACAGCTTCCATCCTGTACCAATAACACTGTCAAACATCCAGATTTGCCTTTCCCCGGTCCTTGGTAAGGATTCAATAGGCAGACAAAAATGCCAAACCCAGTCTGAACATCTGGCTGACTATGCAATGATTAATAATAATAAATAATCTCAATTTGGACCTGAAAGTTCTTCTGTTGAAAAGATTATTGCAATTTATGTTTACAAGTTACTTTTATGCAAGTACTCATCTTTACACTGCTGTAAACAAATAAATTCAGGATAAGAGATTGGGAAAATATTGTAGAATTTGCTTTTTACACATCTGACTTATGTGCTGTGATAATGAGTTTTGGGTTCTTTTGCTATTAGATTTCCTTCATGTGTTTGAGAAATCAAGATAGCATGTGGTATACAGTATAGTCATTGTGAGTCGTCTTAGCTGCTATATTTATGCTATTTTTGTTTTTAAAAATTCTGGTTGTTGGTTTTTTTTTTAACTGTTTTTAATCTGTTTTAATTGTGATCTGCCTAAAGTCATGTATATGAGATGGGCAGCCTATACATTTACTAAATAAATAATAAGTAGCCTTTGTATTAAAAAGAAGTGATGTGATATCTTAAAATCTAATACATTTATGGCAGCGTGACCTCATGACCATGAGATACAGGAAATTTTGCATGAAAATAACTTGTAAATATAAATTGCAAAGTAAAAAGGGTTTTATTTATATTCCTATATTTATTAATGATTACATTTATTGTATACCCTGCCTTTATTACGCACAACTCAAGGTGAAACACATAATGCTCTGCCTGCCTCCTTTTTCCCCATAACAACAACCTGTCAGTGGGATGTGTTGAAAGAAGGTAATGGGCCAAAAGTTATCTGGCCAATTTCCAGATTTGAAGGTGAATTTGCTTTCCTGCTGTGTTTTAGTGTTTTTTTTTTAATTCTTTCATAAAAATAACAGTGGTTTCATTACTCACAGTCTTGGCTTATTACTTTATGTTTACTAATGAACTATCTTTATCTCTGTCTCTCTGTCCAATATCTATCTATCTATCTATCTATCTATCTATCTATCTATCTATCTATCTATCTATCTATCATCTCTCTCTCTCTCTCTCTCTTCTCTCTCTCATCTATCTATCTATCTATCTATCTATCTATCTATCTATCTATCTATC